CCAGGAGTGGCACTAAAGGAAGGCCCGGATCCTTCTGGTGTTTTGGGAGAAGCTAGTAGATTTTCCGCGTCGTTGATAAAATTCTGAAAGTGCAATTAAATAATGAAATATATGTAACATATCAATATATAACAAAGAATCAAAGAAAGTTATAGATAAATATATACAATAGCAGCACACATTATGTCGCGTAATTTGCAGATGCAAGGACGTTGATAGGAATGTAATCTAAGATTGTCAAGATAGATAAATAATCTAGCACAAAAATTTCAAGAATGCTAAAGTCAATTAATTATACTTAAAAATATAAGTGTGTTATTATTGTCATTATAAAATTAAATTTTTAAAGCGTATTGAATTAATTTATCTTATAAATAAAACTTATTTAATAAATAAATTTGATGATAGATTTGACAAGTCTCAGATCAAACTCTTATCAAAAAAGACAGAATTTAAATTTCAATGTATATTGTTTTGTAATAGATATACAATTTTTATAATCAGTATGATATAAAACGCGCGTTAAAGCGGCAATCATAGAAACTAGCATCGATTATATACAACATAAATATGAATAAAACATCTAGTATTAAATATAGTACAAACAATGTTTGAATGATATACAATCACAAGATAATAATTACTATAATTGATGGTCCATGCATCGTTAAATGCAAACATCGTAATATAACGATCTGTTTTAATATTTATACCTTACTTGTTTATCTGCCATCGTAAGCATTTTGACAATAGATATATTCAGATTTATAATAAATTTGTATTGTATTGGTTGGATATGAGTTAATCCCTTAAAGGGATATTAATTTTGAATTATTTAAACTAAACACAGATCGTACATCGAAGAGTAGAAAAATAAATGACCTACATAATCTCGATATTATTTCTTTTGAAAGAAATAACAAAGAGAATAACTCACGTAATATCATAGATATTACAAGATTGTAAAAAAAGGCGAAACATTAATTTGCAAGATTTTTTATCAAGATTTTTTATCAAGATCAATTATGTCCAAATAAAGCATAAAATAAAACAGAAATAAAAGCAAGTAAATTATAGATTTAAATAAATATAACAAAATTACTCACATTAGGATCTTCTCTAATCGTATCTATTGATATCGACGGCGGATTTGATGTTCCAGATGATACATTGCGCAGCACAGATTCGCTATTTGCATTCGAATCATGAAAAGAGACCCTTTTCATAGATGCTGGCTGTTGAGAAATGGGAGGTAGATTAGATGTAGTCGAGCCATTTGATCTGAGAGCACTTTGCTGAGACATAACGGCATAACTGGAGCCTCGTTCTGGTGGCGGAGGTGCATCGTTTACATTATTTTGCGAGGCTAAAAAAAATATTCTCCGTAAAATTATAAAAATATTACAAAAATCAAATATATCTAATATGTCTAATAAGTGCGATAAAATATATTTATAAACTTATTGTTAATGCCATATAATCTAAGAGAGTGGGTATTAAAGATATCTTTCTATCCGAAGAGAAAATTAAAAAAATTTATTAATAGAAAGAAAAGGTTTTAAAATAATTTTCCTCCATAAAAAATTATGGAGAAATTATGGAAAACTCTTTAATCTATGAAAGTTTTAGAAGTAACTTCATGTTTAATCTACTAACGCATAGATACGTTGGGTCCATTAATAATCAAGTTGTCCAAGCGCAACATGCTAGGATGCAGCTGGCTCCTCGGATGTTGGCTTTGTTGATATGTTTGTTGTGACTGCAGCTGCTGTTCCTCCTGCTTCTTCTGGTTCTCTTCATATTCAGCCTGTTTCCTCTTAACTTCATCCATTCTCCGTTGCAGCTCTCTATCTTCTACGGAATGAGACATGCCCATAGAATAAGATTTTTGACCGGAACCGAAATGACTAAGAGGTGTGCCATAATTGGACGCCAACCCATGTTCTTCGCTCTGACTCGCTGTCGTTTGTTGTTGTTGTTGCTGCTGATTTTGTTGCACATGTAAGCCACTATTCTCTTGACCAGGACTGCTCATCCCGACATTTTGAGACGTCGTTTGATTGGATAAAACATGAGCATGGCTGCTAGTGACAGGTTGGCTGCTAAGAGACTGAAGAGGCAAGCCACCTCTCATGGACTGATTGCCAGCAGTCGCCCTCGATAAAACCGGTGGTTGCAGAGTTCCTTGGAGATTTCTATCTTGACTGGCTGCCATTCTTAACAAACCCTGAACACGCTGTACACTCTCATTGTCCAAATCGTTGCTTTCCTCGTCATCATCCTGATTAGCGATCTCTTCTGCTCGCTTTTGAAAGTCTCTCTCCAATTGGAGAGCACGCAGCTGCTCTTCCTGCTGCTGCGTTCGATGCGTCAGTGCGCTTAGCTCGGCGATCTGTTGATCTCGCCATTGTCGTGCGGCTTCTCTCCTACGGGCTTGTTCCTAAAAATGTATATGTTGAATTAATCGTCCATATAAGCTCTTAAAAAAAAATTAAAACAATTATTACAACACAATTTTATTGCATTTGTTAATACTACCATTTTATCTAATATTTTGTTATTAAATTTTATTACCTTTTCTCTTTCTTCTCGTTGCCAAGGATTCGTCGCGCTGTATTGATACTGACGCGGTTGCTGCATAGTGCTGATTCCTCCCGCAGGGTAATAACTACCTCGTGGTGGATCTTGCATGCTTGCGGTATATCTGTAAAATTTTCTCCCGTTATTTAAGATCCAAAATTAATTGTATAACCAAGAAGCGATTTCCAAGATGTATCAAAATATATACCTCGTGTCGGCTTGCTTGTACAGAGGATGCGTCGAAGTGCTAGGCGGCGGCGGCGGTGGACTTTCGTTAAACGTATCTTCAGACGGCAAAGCCGGTCTCGTTGGTGGCGCTTCCGACGTCGTCATGGAGTGGCCCTCTCCATTTTGCGTACGGTTGACAACGTTATCATTTCCGTATTGATCGACGCGCTGCTCCAGATTGCCGTTCGGATAATGCGGGCTACTCTGCGGGCCGGCGAAATGTCGATTCTGCTCGGCGTACGACTTCGTTTCCTGATTATTCGTATCTCTGCTGAGTAGATTCTCACTAGACATTGGCTGATGGCCGCGCGCTACCGCTTCGTTTTTCGGTTTGGGCATCATTGAGCCGTATTGACCTCCGATTACTGGATATCGGTTGGGATACTGATTGTACTGACCGTACTGACCGTACTGCGTGCTATTATATTGAGCATGCTGGGCATCCGGATAATTGTAGCCGGGTGCATTTTGTCTTGCGGCATAACTGGAAGTCGTCGATGTGGAACCGAGCGGTCTTGGTGAGCGTACATTCAAGGTGTTTGGCACTTGCTGAGTCGGAGGAGGAGCCGCCATTCGAGCACCGACATTATACATCGCTGGCGGCCTATGCTGATTGAGCAGCGGCGCACCGCCGCGCAGCTCTCGTCGGCGAACCTCCTCCTGCATCTCCTGCATTTTCGCCTCCTGGCGGATAATGTCACGCGAGGATTGGGAACGCGGTGGTGGTCCTCCGCTGTGCTGCTGCATCTGATTGCTGACCGCCGGATAGCTCTGTTGCTGGCCTTGGGTAATGTATGCGGACGTCGGACGGTCTCGGATGTGACCGCTGACCTCCATAGTAGACGGACGGTTCAATGAATTTTGCGAACCTCTCAGGGAATTCTTCTGAATGTGCTGAGGATTTCTGTAAAATGCAGCATGTAATAAATATAAAAAATACACATGCAGATAATTTACAAAATTATTATAAATTGATGTGTGTACATAACAATTTCCATTTTATTCGCGCATAGTCAAAATTAAATGTAGTATTGGAGAAAGAATCTTTAAAAAAGTAAAATACAAAATTAAGAATGTATAAAAGTGTTATTGCACATCTATACCTATCGTCTGATTGTTGTGGACTAATTTGTTGCTTCACCGTCGAATCTTGATTTCGATAAATACTCAAGTTCTGATAAAATCTCTCTGCTTCTGTGCCTTGCGCATTTGATAATGCATTCATATGCATCGTATTTGGATTTAGATTGGGCGACGACTGCTGCCTACTGACTAAGCCAGTGGGTGGTAAAGTTCCAACTCTCATGGGATCGTGCAAATTATGACTTGATCTATACACACAAGAATATATTATTTTTATAAAATCATCCTTCATTATTATATTTCACAGATATCAAATATCTATATATTTTGTAAAAAAAATATCTTACAGTAGATTTTACAGCATTAGATGACATTAAGTACATTAACACCAAAAAAACTTAATTGAAATTTTGATTTCAAGTCCTATAAACCGATTATACTCTATGATTGTTAAGAATTATTTTACAATTTCTTTGGAATCGATTGTATATAATTTAAATCAAATTGAATTAAATATATAATATTCACCTGGAACGCAAGGAAGTTGCACTGTTGATGGTTGCCATAGGAGGTGGTTGAACAGGCGGTGTAACGCTGTTGCTGGAAGAGGCTCTGCTATATCCTGGATTGAATACTTCATGTTGTTGCTTGGCCTCAGTACCTACATCTATGTAAATTCAATTTTTAATCTATCTTTTTGATTTTATTATTATTCTATTTAAGAATCATAAGAAACATAGGTCTTTTTAATAATGTTTAATCTATTCAGTAAAACTTCAGTAAAGCTGTATGATTCGGGTATGATATGCACACACAAAGCTCTTACTTACTATGCAATGCTGGCACAGACTTGCTGCTGTGGATTTGCTGAGGAGTGGCGTCGTGTCCAAGCCGCGACGGCAAATCCCGCTCGCTCATGCGACGAGGACCTGCGGTAGCCCAAGCGGGTACACAAAGAGACAGCTTTGAGTTAATGCATCGGTGAACACGAAGGTGCCGAGGCGCGATATTAAAATGATCACTCATGCACATACGCAAAGCATTTATTGAGAACAAAAATGGTCACTTCTGGGTCGCCGAAGTCTAACTTTGACACATTGAAAGTGATGGGAAAAGAAAATGTCACACGGCCAACTGTACATTTATGGCAATGACGTGCTAGATTACACTGACTAGTTTGCATATATATCACACTATCGTTTTAACAAGATTTTAAAATAATCCTGTGTAAGTTACCAGATATTAAAGCTATTGATGTAATTATTCAAATTCTAAGAGGTAGCTCATGATTAATAAAATAATATTGGATTTTGTAGGAAAGACTTCATTACATAAAATATTAATAATATTTAAATAAATACGCTCTCTCTCTCTCTCTTTCTCTTTCTCCCTCCCTCCCTCCTCCCTCTCTGCGTGCATATTGCATTGTGTGATCAATTTGATTGACCATGATCAAGTTAATTAAACATAAAAAAAACATATAGTTATACAAGGTACTTGCTTTATCACAATTACTATGTAGTTCATGATTAAATAATCGCAATAAAATATAAAGTATTTTTTTTTACGCACGTAACTACGATTATACGTACGCAATTCCACGAACATTTTGCTAAATATATTACTGCTTTAAGTACAGCAATGTGAGCAAAAGAAAGTACCTGAGAATTCTGTTAAGAAATCATGCTTGCGTATTAGCAGAATTGTTATGAAACAAAAATACATGTAGATGTCTCATAACTTGCAGAATGATACTTGCAAGTCCGTTCTTAGATAGGGCGAAGCAAAATAATAACATTAATTTAACTAAATTATATATGTTAGTTTGTGATCGGAAATTGACCAAATTAGTTTTTTAATTCAAATTTTCAACATCCCAATTTTATTTAAAAAACAAAAATATTCAGTATTTCCCTTTATAAGGATAAGAAGTTAACAGACAAAAGACAGAACAACTAATTTGGTCAATCTTGAATTTAATTTTTCATCAATCAAAGTAAGCCCTAAAGTAACATAACATCGCAAAACAATGCGAGAATGATTTATGCTGAAAATTATTCGGGCACATTATAAGTAAATAGAAATAAACGTATTGCGTGCGTGGGAGGATAAATAAATCGTGCGACTGATCCGATTTGCGAACGTTGTTTTTCTTTTGTTTCATTCACGACGAAATGAAGGTGCTCGAAGAAAGAAAAATTCAACTAAATGCACATTCAACGTATAACACGTGTTGGTAGCTTACGCAAAGCGAAGCGGTCGTCATCTTTCAGCGAGCTGATCTTGCGGAAACTCCAACCATCTCTCTCTGAATCAGACTTTTGTCTTGAAACGTTGAAATCACTTTGCGATTTTCGTCCCATGTCTTTTGCCTCATTCCCACATGACAATTTAAAGGATGAGTTATCTTTCAGCCGATCGTAGCTCACGCGCCTTGTGCGCAATCTTTTTTCACCACCCAATCAGATTTCTTTACCTCAGCAATTTGATCAGAATTCATTCGTCTGTTTTCCTCACGAGATTCTTTTTTTGATTTCAATTCTTCGAGCGAACGATGACGATTCCACGACACGTTTTTTCCGTCTTCGGAAACTAATTTATCATCAAAGAATTTGTCAAATTTCACATCGGCTTTAGCAGTTCGAAGTACAGTAGAATTCATCGAACTATCCCGCTTCCTCAACCCTTTTCTCAATTTCAATTCTTCAAGGGAACGATGACGGTGCCATCGTGTATTTCCCCTGGGACTGGAAATCAATCTGTTGTAACATTTGTTAGACGAATCAACGTCTTCACAAAGATCCTCGGAGGATCGTGTTCGATTATCAAATTCAAATAGAGGCTTGTTGTCTTGAATACTTTCACAACTTCGCGTCAACTTAGCGGACTTGTCGCAAAGATCAGCTTTTTTAGTCTCTTCTTTTCCATAAATTGTAGCGCCGATCAAACTGTTCTCGCTATTACAGAGAGGTCTAGCAATTCGCATTCGCAAAACGTTCATTGCCTGTTTATCGCCTGTTCTTAAATGAGTATTTACATATGGCGGAAGCATCGATGGGCTTTCCGAGAAGCTGTTGGAGCAATTCTTAGTAGCGGGATGAGAAATATCTATGAATAGGCAAGATTTGGGACGTTTCCCACAATACTGATGAATCTGTGATCTTATATCCTCTAAAGACAAAGAATTTTTCGCAACTTTCGTTAGCGATAGCATGATGGAAGAATGAGAGAGTGGAGGAGAACAAACGGAAGGCATGGAGGAAGAAGTTCTCATCATTTTTTCAGAATTATCGTCTGCATCGATCAACGATGATTTATCTCGAGATGCTGCATCTAATTGATTTATCAAATTCGACTGGATTGAATCATTAGAGACAGACGTTTCTTGAGTCTCATTTTTGGAAACGGCAGAAGCTTGCACGACATCTTGCTCTGGTATAAACAAAGGCGCGTCGGCGTTATCCAGATTTGAAAATTGCTCGAGTTGTTTCGCGATTAATTGTTGTTGTTCTAGAGAGAGTTTGGAATGGTTATCTTTGTTAAATTTTCCAAATGGCATGATTTGATCTCTATTTTTGATATCTACATTCTGATTTTCAATATCTACATTTTGATTTTTCTTTACTTCTTGGATTGAACTTTCCTTATTATCAGTCATAATTTGCTCGTTCATTGGAATTTTGGTAATTGTGACTCGTTTAGCGCCGCAATGATGAAACCTACATTCCTCGATCGAGAAATCGCCACCCGCTTCAACATCAACTAGAATAACATTATTGTGTTTCCCAGTTGAGAAGATTCGAGAATTTTCGTCCACTTCTTTTGTTAAATCCGAATCTGATTTGTATTCCTTCTGTGCATGACAAGGTCGATGCAGATGCTCGTCGTTCTCCTCTGGTGTCAGAATATTTGGTTCCGATACGAATTGACGAGAACCATTCAACTTGGTGGACTTAAACTTGATCAGACCGGCGTCACCAAGTTTCGAGAAATGTTTTGCTAGCGCTGCAACTCTGCCGCATCCTAAACGCACTTCTTCCGGCGACTTCCAGCACTTCTCCGTTTTGGACTCGTCACTGGACACGTCGCTGTTCAATCCGCTCAGATCGAGATGCAATTCTGGCATTATGGTGTACATCTTAGGAGTAGAGATACCTCCCTCGGCATCTTTGTCGGTTCTATTCGATGTGCAATCGTCGTTAATCGTGGAACTAGACTCATCCGCGCAATCTTCGGAATTGGAAATATCGTCCAAGTTATCTGTACATTGATCTTTAATATTTATACGTTTTATGCCGTTATCTACGCTTTCAAGGCGCGAGAAATCATTTGGCTTGGATTCTGTCACGGAGTCTGGATTGACTGTAGTATCCTTGACGAATAATACAGCTTTATTCGCAGATGAATCAACGATTGATGAAAAATTCAGATTATTTAATTCAAAATTAGATTCTGGAATATTTAGAGTCTGTTGACTATATCGATCTACTTCTATGCGCTCTTGAGAATCTCTAGGATTAAGATTGCCGTTATAACCGGCTTTAATACAGCGCTCGCACTTGTTACTCGGCTCTATCTGAACACATTCAGAGGATTCGGCGGGATTGATATCATCAGCTTGATCAATATAAGGTATAGTATCGAAAAGATTTCTATCGAGAATCAATGGCTGCGTCAGCAACGAGTGTTCATGGTCCTTTGTAACTTCCGCATATTCCTGTGGCGGAGTAGTGATCCTTTCAAACGGATTTAAAATTTCCGTTGAATAATTCGCACTTCTAGTTGCGATTCCACCTTGTTCCATATTATTTTCTTCTTCCTCTATGATCTTATCGTCACTCTCATCACTCTCATCCTGATATATGATGGATGATATCTCGTTGTCGCTCGTGATTGAGATCAAAGGACAGGGCATTCGAGGTTTCAGGAGACGCACGGGAGACACGGTAGGGGTAGAAGGACGATAGATGTGTTCCCTCTCATCGACGGCACCGCGAAACGCGTCGACGGAATAGACACTAGGATACGCGCCTCTTGAATGAAGAACCGAGAACGGATCTTGCCGCATGGAACGATATTCATCGATGTCGATTCGTGGAAAACCTCGGTCAATTTGATTATGGCAAAAAGATCTCTCAACAAGACATTGAGATGGGATCGCACCTGGTTGAGCTAAATCCTGATACGGCGCCTGCTTCGGGAAGTGGGACAATAAATCGCCCATCGAGTGTGACGTGGCTGGCTGATTACCGGTTGCCCCTATTGCTGGTTCTAAGAGTTCGGATCTCATCCGAGTCTTATGTTCTGCACGAAACAAGTGGTTAGTCAAGCGTTAATAAAGCCGGCTCTTTCTGAGCGAAGCGAAGCGGAAGATATTATTCAAACGGAGCGGTTATTTGGATTAGAAAATGTCCGCTGGTGATAAATTTGGTCAGTAGTTAGAAAATAGGATCTTGCTGACACGTGCGTTTGAAGCAAGAAAGTAATAAACTTGATCGTTTCAATACAAAATTATATTATATATTCTTAAATTTGTTCAATATGATACAGTTTATTTAAATCACATCACGAAAGTATAATTTATTTATATTTGTAAAAGTTATATTTGTATTATATTTATAAAAGTTATCGCAAAGAATGTCTATTTCAAAAAACATTGATTGAAAAGAAACCAAGATCTTAGTTATCTTTTTCTTGCTCCAAAATTGGCTCTGGGAATTACGGTATTATTTATTAATCTTCGAACTTACCTCTTGTCATTACGGGAGAAGGTTGCGATAATAACGTTGCGAGGCCATGATATATAGCTCCCTGTTTCGCGACTTCCAATGTCACAATCGGACCGGTACGCACGAGATATTCGGCAGCCCTGCAATATTTTAATAATATATGTAATAACAAATATCAAACAAATTATTAAATTAAAATTGTATTAAAGATTGCTGTACTTTTCCTGCGTGATTCCAACTAGACTTTGTCCATCTACTTTGAGTAACTGATCACCTGCCGTCAATCTACCATCCTGAAAGTAGAGACAAAAAATACATTAATAATTACTTAATAATACGAAAACTTGTCAAATGTAACTAAAAATTTAATTCCAGAACTTCGAATAAAACAAATTGTGATTACTTACAGCATCAGCAGCACCACCAGCAACGACGCTTTTGATATAAATACCTAATCGATCCTGCCCCGCACCCTACGTATACCACAAAAAATTAAAATAGTAAATTTAATATATCTACACTGTAATAAATAAATATGCATAGTGTGTTAAAAAACACGTACTTTTGCTGCAACAATGCTCAATCCCATGCCATTGGTACTTTTGTGCAATTTGATGATATGTATCTCAGGTTGAGCTTGATTTTGATTGACATGACTAATATAGCCACCCGATCTATTACTCATTGCGCTGGGACTACGTAACTGTCAAAAATTAAGAAAAAAATCATTATAAAAATGTTTCTATAATTATTATTTAAATTAGAAAAATTTTGATATAAAAACTATATTTAGCAGATTATATTAAATATTAGTTTTCGTATTGAAAGCCACATAAAGATTATTATAAAATGTAATATATTATAAAATTATAAAAATTATAAAAATGTATAACTTACATTGTTGTGATGATCTATCATGTAAATGGTCCAATAACCACTACTTGTGGGTTGGGCCGCCATTCGACATAAACCATCTCGTTGCAAAGGTGCCAAAAATTCTGCTAGTCCTGGTGGGACGCCTCTTATTACTTCACAGCTATAACCATCCTCAGGAAGCAGTAATGCTAACCCTAGAACAGGCTCTTCTTCCAGTCTTATTTCTCGGCCATCTGCACGCGCGAGTGTATCGGCGACACTCTCTGCTACCTATAATACATAAGATCGATTACAAAGAACAGCGATATATGTTACGTAAAATGTTGTTTCAATGAGACATAGATCGAGACGAGATTATAGTATTTTCATATATATACTCACTCTCACCACATTTTCGATCAATTCGGCAGGTAGTCTGGGTTCATCCGCAGCTGGTTGATATTTCTGTAGTAACGCCCTCACTTGTAGAGAATTCAATTTAAAGCAGGTTGAGCTTAGCGTAGCGAGTTCATCGGCATTGTACTTGGGAGCCTGTAGTAGATGAGTAGCCTGCATTATTGTCGCCAAATGACATTGACTGGCAAGTTCCAAGCCCTGTCTCTCGGCCCATGTCTCCAGTGCATTCAGTCTTGTTTTTAATTTGCGTCCGAACCATCTGACGCATAGATTTCCGTTCGAGACGAGTGTATTAAAGGCTGTGGCATTGATCGCATGAAACAGATGACTAAACAACTGTATCGTCAACGCGGCATTCACCCGACATCGTCGCAATAAGGCCATCGTATTCGAGAAGATTTGCAGCACTCCAGCTTCCTTCGCTGGGTCATCTGCGTCCGCCATAAACTGCGTCATCGCTGGAGTGAGCTCTAACGTGACACAGCGCACCAGCGAACCAAAGGCCGTGTGTACCGCGTCCGCTAAGATGTCTTGAGCCCGCGTGGAAAATGCACCCACATGTCGGTCGCTTTTTAACATGTGTAGTAATTCCGAGCCATTTGCCAACCAAAAGGCCAATGATGAAGCATCCATATAACGTTCCTGGAAACGGAATTTTTCTTAGAGACCTTCTCATTTATCAAACATTGTATTATATACAGATATTAAATTAGGATACAAAATTAACAAGGTACTATAATATAATCCTTTTTTAAAATATATTTACTAAATTAATTTAGAAATATTCATGAATTTTACATCGGATCATTTTTTCAAACAAACTAGTCTCAATAGTTGAAGTAGAAAAACAAGATCATAAAATACCTGGATAACACGTTGGATCATGGAAGCGACATTTGCCAGCATGACGGTGAGTCGATGTGCTCTTTCTGTAGGTTGCAATTCTGGTCTGTAATGAGTGCTGGCACGATATCGTGCACTGAGATAGAGAGTATAGGTCGGTGCCAATTTAAATTGTGGCGCCGAAGGTTCGACATCGGTGATAACAGCGTGGAGAAACGTTTCCTCTGTCTCCTCAAGGAATTCCAAAACAGCTGGCAAAATTGGATCCGTGCCTCGCGGTTGCCGATCGTACTGTGAGAGTCTGCCAATAATCAATAGATTCAATTCCTTTCTTCGATTCGATTATTAAAATTTAATCTTTTTTACTTTAAAAAAAAAAAAATAGTTTCACAGTATAAATTTATACAGTATATTTTAAATTTATAATGCATTGCTATTCTAAAAAAAAACTTCGACATAATAATTGTTATTATTAATTATTTGACAAATTGGGAAAACTGATGGCTTAGCAGATTGTAAATAAAAATTTTTAAAATTTCGAAGAAACAAGTTTCGTGAAAATCATGAAAATAATGAAATTATATCAAGCATATTTCTTCATTATATTTCATTATTAAAAATTAACAAAATTTTTTTAAAAGCATTTTTCCATACATATACTTACTTATACTCTTTGGATAAACATTTTTTTATATTTATCGGTTTATACATTATTTATATATTATGATTCTTGCAACTTTATTATAACTTTATTATATATTAATAATCTAATTTTTTTTGTAACTAAGTCAAGCATCGTAGCCTGTTATGAGTTTATCAATGCATTTTGCTACCTGTTGCCGTCCCTGCTGCTGCTCAGGCTAGCAGTTTCCACGTTCCCATCCAGATCAAATGTGGTTTCATAATTGTGCGTGGGCTCTGGCGGGTGTGTGGGACTACGAGGACTACGAACTGCAGTGGCGGTGGACTTTGAAGGGCTTGATGGGGTCGTTTGTTCTTGAGTCTGACCCGGGATCTGACCACCATCGTTCGGTGTTCCAGACCCCGGATGAAACTTTTCCGAGCTAACATCCTGACTGGTTGTGTCCGGTGAGCGTCTGTCATTACGCGCGTGCAAAGCAAACGTCACAATGGAAAAAGCAAACATAAAGCGTATCGAGCAAAATAAACGTAAGTAGAGCGGAAAAATGGAAGACAATGTAATAAGAACCTATATAGGAAAATGCATTCTGCATTCCCTAATAAAAGAAAAATACAACTTTCGTCGAAAATATGGAAGATTTTTACTAAAGCACGATATTAACTAGATTAATTAATTTTAACAATTTTTTAAATCTTCTTTATTCAGTACAAAAATTCCGTGGTAATTTACAAATGCTAGCATTTACTAAAAGTGCTCTATATTATCAAGGCATTAAAAACTTTAATATTTAAAAACTAATACAAACTGTTTAATCTATGTAAACAAAGTATTTCATACAATATTAATAAATAATAGCATCTAATAATTATAATAAATTAAACATATGAATTCTATATTGTTGTAAGTACATTGCATTGAAATATAAAAAAGAAAAATAAAATTGACTAAATTGCAACGAACGAGCAACATTCGTGCGCCACATTTATTCTGCTCTAATTGCAACGACAAGAGACAGAAATACGAGTTTTGAACTTACCGATCGTAAGCGTAGTCGATCTGTTTGTTAGAATCGTGTCTCTGCCTAATGCGCTCTTCCGGCGCAGGGTCAATGAATCGAAAGGTGTGCATTCTGCCGAATTTAATGATAGCTCCATTCTGTAAGTATACAACATTGTTGAAACCCGTTGTTATCACATTTAGCTCTTAAATCGATACGCTGACGATTCAATACATTAATTTCTAGTCTTTTGCAATTATTAAAAAAAAAAAAAGTTAAAAATAAACTAAAATAGAAGAAAGTTATATAAATATAGATATGTAAAATAACAAAATGCAAATACAAGTCTTGATTGCAAAACACATGAGAAACGCACCTGCAGAATGGTCGTCTGGTGTATCCTTTGATTGTTGACGTATGTATGCGCGTCTCTGGAACATGGCGTGAGGGTGACAATGTTCTCGGTGAAAGCTATAACGCAGTGCCTGGGCATCACCGTTGGTCCTGGCAACGTAAGTGTCTGCGCTTGAACCGCTTGCGGTCCTATCGGTCTCTCTGATCCGACTTCCGTGACATTCGGCTGTAACCGGTGTCGTACTCCGGCGCCGTTCGGGATATCGCTGCCGTCAGGATTAAGCTCCAGTAGGAATGGTAGCCTCTCATCCTCATACCTATAAAACGTAAACACACAACTTATGTTAAGACATGGAAGATTAAAAATCCGTTATGGATAAATCATCAATTAATAGATCAAATATCAAATAGAATCTCAACGAAGTCAAATAATATCTGATCTCTATATAAAAATTTTTCTGAAATTGTTACCTATGGTCCAACTCATTCCACTTTCCGGATGGTTTCTTTTTACGTTTCCGCGGCATGTAATCTGCGGGCCTCCTCCTCACATGAAACATAATGGAACCTGCAATAAAAATATATGCCATAAGATTTTACTCGAGCATATCATGGGAGAACAAGCTCTGCTATATATTTTTTTTCTGTTCTTTTTCTAATATACATAAATTATAAACTTATAAAAAAGAT